CATACATACATACATACATACATACATACATACATACATACATACATACATACATGATACAATTCTATAGCTTTTGATTATTTCCATCTTTTCAACAAGCGCGTCTCATGACCGCATGAGCTGTTTATTTCGTTACAGAACAATTAATGTAGACACTTTTCAGGTCTTGTTGCCCCACCAGGAAGGGGAGTGCCAATAACGTGTCAATATAAAGTCTGCATTATAATTTATATCATTTTTGCACCTCTTTTCAGTTCGGTCAGGCATGCCGGTGTGTGTATTGCCTTCTTGACAAACAACTTTGCAAGACCAGGATGCTCATTTCTATTCCGCGTATGTGGGATGGTGTGTTTGTGTTATAAGCACAATTATAAACCCAACCGTTGTGCTAATTTTAGGCCTATATTATTTTTTTCAGAGTAAAAGTACATGTAAAAGGCCCTACATTTTTTTTCCTGAAGTCTCACCTGACTTCAGCTATTCATTACATTCCCAATAGCAAATCTGTTTTGATATATGGCGTTCCTCGTGAACAAAGAACCACACAGGAATAGGTCACTAGGCTGCTCGCCTTTTCCTCACCTCCTCTACCTTTTACTTTTCCTCTCTTAGAGTGCTCTGGTCGTTACAAAGGAAAATTGCCTCTTGACAAAATAGGCGCAATGCTGTGTCAAATCAAAACATTAAAAAATATTTGATAGATGGAAATAGAAACGGCCGGTCAAAGTGAAAGAAGAAGAAATTTCCAAACCTGCATGTACATGAATTAACTGTTTGTACGTTTTGGAGTAATAAGTAATTTGTTTTTTAATGTGTTTTCTGTCTATGAGTTTGTTTTTACTTCACAGGTGCATTTAAATTCTCACAACTGTAAAAAGAGTAAGACAAGAGCAATTCTGTTCTGTGGCCCATGTTACTTTTTTTTCTCTTTTAAGTTTTTGTCCGAGTTAATTTGAAGTTTAGTCGGTCTTGCTTCCCACACGTACGTGTTACTATAGGAGGAGGCGGGGGCTCTCGTGGTCTAGAGTTTACAGTGTTAGCCTCTCATTCAATAGGTACACACACACACACAC